ATCTATCTGAGTGTTAATGGTTAATCTCTAACGTTTGGTTGTGGAATTGTTCATTTGACTTGAGATCATCATAGTACCTTATATGAGGACAGTCATACTTTGATGGTGTTGGATGTTGCTCTACCAAAGGTCGCTAATATAACATCGTTCGGGTATGTCAAGAATCATATGAAGGTTGTGAATGATCAATAGAGGATTCGTCACTTTTAGATAGTAAGAGATTATGATCTACATTTTATCCAATTAAGTTGATAATGAAATTTTTGGCCAAGGTGAACTCATAAATTGAAAAGGAATTTTTGACTTACATTGACTCAATACTAGATAAAAGATATGATCAATAATTGAGATTGACATATATCCATATATCATAATTGATTGGTCAATAGAGGATTCGTCACTCTTAGATGTAAGAGATTATGATCTACATTTTATCCAGTTAAGTTGATAATGAAATCTTTGACCAAGGTGAACTCATAAGTTGAAAAGAAATTTTCGACTTACATTGACTTAACACTAGATAAAAGATATGATCGATAATTGAGATGGACACATATCCATATATCATAATTGATTGTATCATATTGACGAAATGATTATAATTTCACGGGTTACGAACAAGCCTGGTTTGTTGCATCACGTGACATTTCCCATCACATGTATTGCCTTGACACATTGCTAGATGTCAATCTGGGACGACGAATGTGAATTCGTGATAAATTAAGAAGGGTGGTTTAATTGATCGATTTTGATTAGATCAAAATAATAATTCACGCCGTTAGGCATCGNTGTCACATCACGTGACATTTCTCATCACATGTATTGCCCTGACACATTGCTAGATGTCAATCTGGGACGACGAATGTGAATTAGTGATAAATTAAAAGGGGTGTTTTAATTTATCGATTTTGATTGGATCAAAATAATTCACGTCTTTAGGTATCGTGATCGGGAACCTAATAGGTCACACAAAAAAGAGAACTAGAAGAATAAGATTTACCAATTAATTAAGTGACAAGTATTGAATAATTAATTAATTGAATTGTTTATTAATATGCATGAATTAATTAATTGGATTAATTAATTCATTGACCATATTTAATTAATTTGATTAATTAAATATCGGATCGGGTTAAGTTTAGAGATAGGTCAAGCCCACTTGAGCTTATATTAATAGGCTGCTAGGGTTTGTAAATTGTACGAAATTTTTCATTATTCTATCTAGCACAAGAAAATAAAATCATAGCCATTTTCTTGTTCTCTGTGTGGATCACCATTAGATGCTGGATAATTGGACATATTGAATTGCAGATCATGATCATTGGAGTTCGAGAATCAACAAAGGAGTTTGCAAAACTCATCAAATGTATAATTCTTATCACAATTTCTATCTAAACACAATACAGATCCTTGATGGGAATTGAAAATTGTTTTATTTCCGATGAGTATGATTAAGTAAATTCCCAACAGTGATATCAGAGACAGGTTTGTGTTTGTTAGAAATTGTT